AGAGGGTCCAGGGCACCATCTACCCCCAGGCAGGAAGCTCGCCTAAGTGACCTGAGCAGGGAGCAGGGGGCACGAACCTGGCATGAACCTGCCCCAGAGCAGTGCCAGGGCCGCCCGCCCCTCCGYGCTGAGGGCTCCTGCTGCCCCAGGGCAGGGGCTCGGGACAGGGCGTGCTCCCAGGGACACACCCTGCGTGGTGACAGCCAGCTGGTGTCTAGATCTTGGGGGCAGCAGCTGTGGCTGCTCTCCCCACCCCCGGGACCCTCACTGCCCCCAGGAAGCAGCTGAGGACCAGGCGGCTGTCATGGAAACCAGGTGGGAGGGGCCAGGCCAGCTCTGCGCCCCTCCAGCCGAGGGSACGGGGCGCGGGGTGCTGAGGGGTTTGGCCCAGCATGCCACAGGAAGGGGGCGCCTCGCAGGCGGATGGGAGTGCAGGAGCCCTYGGGCTGCGTGAGATGCTGAGCCCCACCTGTTCCCAGGTGCTCTGGAGGAGGCCTTGCTGACCTAGGAGGGCCTGGGAGCTGCAGGGATGGATGGAGGGCCGGGGCCCAGGCTGGGCCTCACCTAGCTCAGCAAGAGGGCAGCCTGGGGTGGCTGGTCCTGCAGCTGGGATGGCCTGCCCGGGTCCCTCACCTGCACCTGGGCTGGACTCCACCTTCCCTGAGGCATGCCCGCCACACGGGAACCCAGGCCAGATCCCCCATCAGGGGTCCTAGTGTGGCCCGGGCATCAGTGATGGGCAGGTGGGAGGGAGGAGCTCTGTGGAGCAAGTGTCCACCTTTCTTCATGCTGGACATCAAGACAAACCTCAGGCTGTCCCTTGTCGGTCTGCCTGAGATACTCTGAGACTGGGGTAAAATCTTGTGTTTGGCCCAAGGTGACCTGGGTGACCTGGAGTGTCCCCCCCCTCCCGGGAATCMCCACCTCCCTGCCCCCAGGGCCAAGGGTAGAGAGGCCGTTCCCTGGGAGGCTGGGGCAGGGCGGGGACAAGGGGACTGTGGTCCTGACCCAGACGGACAGAGAGTCCTCGCCTTCTGCTACCAGCTCTACACGCCGTCTGCAGTGTGCTGTCTGCAAAAGCCAGGCTCAAGGTGTGACGATGTGACAGGCAGGGGCCCTGGGACACTGCCCAGTGGTGGAGAGGGTRGGGCAGGCTGGCCACACTGGCGCATGCACATCCCAGCTTCTTATCAAGCTTGATGGAGGACAGTCGGGGCTGAGAGACCCTCCCTGCCCCGCTGTTTGTCTTGATGTTTAGCTGTAGATGGACGCAACACCTTGGTTTTATTTATTCATTTTCATGTGGTGCTGAGGATCAGACCCAGGGCCTCGCCAGGCCAGCGCTCCGCCTCTGAGCCCCCGCCCAGCCCCCTGTTCTTAACTGTTAATGAAGGTCATTTTCCCTCCTGCTCCAGYGGCCGCTGCCCTGCCCACTGAAGCACACGGCCTGCTCTTGGTCCAACGGCTGCCCTCCTTCCCAGGGTGCTGCAGGGTCTGCTGGGGCGGACACCACCTTCAGACGCCACCCCAGGGGTCTCCTGCTGGCCACCTCCGCGGGTCCTGGGTGAAGCCCTGGGGCCGTGCCCCCAGCCCCGGGCAGCCCTGGAGCCCACACCAGCTGGCCTCCCTCCAGCCAGCACCCCCACCCCAGGCGCATTCCTGCAGTCAGGCCACCTGAGCCCCTCTCGTCCCTCCTAGCTGTGTGGCTGATCCCTCTGAGCTCAGAAAGTCTGTCCCCATTTCACACTCGTGTGTAACACACTTCGAGGGGGCCCACGTGAACCGAATGGTCGCTGGGCCCTCAACTTCCACACAGCGCTGGCCTCCTGCTGGGCATCCAGAGGCCTAGAGTCCTGCCCAGATGGCCCCCAGGGCAGGGGTTTGAGCAGTAGCCACAGCCTTTCCTGTCCTCCGCTGTGGGGAGCCAGGGGCGTGGGGGGGACGCAGGCCTGAAGTCCCAGGAATGAGAGGGAGCCTGCGTGTGCTGTGGGCTGGCACTGGAGGGACCCTCCTGGGTGAGGACAGACTGGGCCAAATGGTTCTGAGGGGGTGGGAGACCACAGTGGCCCCAGTCCCTCCCAGCAGGACGTGAGGACAGGCAGACTTGAGGACCTGCAGGCTGGAGGGGTGACCACGGTGTCGGCTCYGGGCTCTGGGACAACACTGAGGTCAGCAGCTGGTGCTGAGGGGTCACTCTGGTGGAGTCCTTGGTGGACTGGCCTGTGGCCTCGGACCTGTGTCGGGGGCCCGTGGTGGCGGGAGCACCTGGGGGAGAAGGCTGCTCCTCCCCAGGGCGCCCAGCCTCACGTCCTGCACAGCCCCCTCCTCGGGCTGGCCCCTCCAGCAGCACCAGGGACTGGGGCCAGGCCTCCCAAACTGGTCTTCAGGGCACGTGATCTAAACCTCTGGGGTCTCACGGAGACGCCTCGCTCAGAGGCTGGACAGGAGTCACGGGGAGCCGAGGTCTGCTCAGAGCCTGGAGACCACGCAGCAGGGCTGTCCCCAGGGTCTGCCTGGTGCCGGGAGACGGCTGAGGTTTGGGGGCCAGATGCACCACGGGCTGGCCTGGCACTGCCCTGGGACTGCTGGACTGGTCCAGGCCAGCTTCCACTAGTGGCCACCTTGGCACCTCAGCCTGAGAGTGAGCCCCACCTCCCAGCTCCTCCATTAAGGGCACAAACCCAGAAGAGAGAAATTCTGACCAGCACGGTTTCCTGAGAACAAGACGGTGGCATCTCGAAATTGGAGTGGACCTGGTGCCCCTGATCGGGCTCAGGTGTGCGGTGCAGACCTCAGCCGCAAAGGGGTCATTGGAGCCAGTCCCCCTGAGCGCCGGCCCCCCTGAGCGCTGGCCCCTCTGAGCTGCAGGGCCAGGGGTCAGACCTCCCATCCCCACCCAATTTCGACTCCCTCCCTGACCCTCCCACCAGGCCAGAGTCCACTCCTGGGGACAGCTGTGGCCTCATGATGAGCAGGGGTGAGGGACCAGGCCCAGCCCAGGGAGCAGGCCTGACAGAAGGCAGAGCACAGGCCCCTGTCCTCTGGGAGGGGTGGTCCCCGTGTGGGGACACAGGAAGATTCCTAGGCCTGGGGTCACCTCTCCACGGTCCTGGGATGCTCCGGGCCTGGCCCACCAAGCTGCAGGCAGGGGGAGGTGGCGATGGGTCCAGCGAGGACACTGCAGCAGACCCAGCCCCACCCTGGCCCCCGCTGGCGGATGCTGGCCTGGGTGGGTTCCAGAGCCTTCTGGGCCCCAGTTTCCCGACTGCTCCTCCTGACGGGGTGGGTGGGGAGGTGGACGGGCCTGGGGGCGGCTGCTGGGCAGCACACCTGGCTCCCATTGCTCGTGACTCCCACGCAGCCTGCTCTGATGGGAAGACGCTGCCCACTAGCCACGGCCCCGGCCCCACCACCCCTGCCCCAGGCCCGCAGGATCCCACCCACAGACAGAGGAGGCCAGAACCCGGCCTGCAAGCTCCTCCTGGGGAAGAGCCTCAGAGCCCACAGCTCTAGTTCTGAAGCCAAACCCTGCCTGTGGACTGCAGAGGACGGAACCTCAGGAACCGAGACGTCGTGCCGAGAGCCGGCGTCCTGGGAGTCTTCCACGGGAGACGACAAAGGGGGACGGGGTGGCCAGGGCCGCTGTGCTGTGCTCATCACAGGGAGGGTCCCCAAGCTCCCGCTGGGCAGAGGACCAGCAAGAAGGCCTGACCGCCCCTAAGTGCCCTGGTCACTGAGCCCAGGCTGGGCACAGCCCCTAACTGCCCTTGAACGAGGGCTGTGCAGGGGAGTGGCCAGAGGACCCCGCCCACGTTAGGACCCGGCTGGAGCAGATGAGGCAACAAAGGCTGCAGGGCGGCTCAGCCGGGGGCAGTGGGGGAGGGTCTCCYTGTCCCTGCTCCAGGCAGGAGAGCTGCAGTGAGGGCGCAGGCCGCCCGGGGACCAAGCCCCACTGGGAGACGTGGAGAAGGAACCTGGGGCCGAGGACTCTTCCCCGTGGGGCCTGCCTGAGCTGGGACCAGGGCCCTCCAGGGAGGAGACACTGCCGGGCAGCGCAGGACACCCAAGCCCATGCGAGGACTGACCACTGCAGCTGGGGCCTGGGTGAGGGCTCCTGGGGAACACACTGTCCCCTGCAGCCCCCTCAGGGCTGCTAGGTGGAGCCGGAGGGGAGCCACCGGCTGGCCCTGACGCTGCCACCGGCAACAGAGGGGGAAGGCGAGCAGGGGCTGGGCATTGTCACCTGGCAGGGTCCTCCTGCTCTGTGGCCCACAGGAGCCAGAGCAGGGGCAGCATGGGCCTTSCCTGTTCAGACACACTGTGTGGGGAGCCCCTGCTGCACCACTGAGAGCTGTGTGACCATGGGCAGGTTGCCCAACCTCTCTGGGTTTCCTTAACTGAATCACAAGCTCTAAGGACACTTCACCAGACAATGAAGGTGGGGTTGCTCCCCGAGCAGGTACCAGGGGCCCTCCTGGGGTCCTGCCARTGTGGCACCTCGAAGGCCACTGGGCTTCTTGGACGCCGTGAGGCAGGACACTGAGCAGGTTCTCCCTGGACCTGGCTGTGCCTCACACGCCCCCCCACCCCCAGCCCTCTGGTTGCTAAGGGGCCTCCCCTGGACTGGACAGTGGTCTCTGCTTCGAGCTGGGACTGTGCTCCAAGGGCCTCGGAGAAGCTGGGACCCCCTGCACTCGGGACCCCGTGCGCTTGGGTCCTGGCTCCTCCCAGGAGGAGACCCCTTGGGGAGGCCCCGGAGACCTGCTCCCGGACACCGCCTTTGCTTGCCATGGGCTGAGAGGTTCTCCCTGCACCCAGAAACCTGGACATTTAGGAAGGTGACTGAGAGGGTCCTAAGCAGGTGTCCACCAGGCCCTTCTCTGGGAACCCACGTGACTTAAATAGGCCCCTCCTGCGAACAGCACCAGGTACTGGGAGTCAGACAAGGGCAGGTCCTAAGTCATCTGGCCCCGATGTGGCTACAGAGGAGGCTAGGAATAATGAAGAGTTCAGAAGGTGCTGGAGAGCCAGGAAGCCTGACCAGTGTCCACAACACTGACCCTGGCAGCTTGAACAAAGAGAGGACCTCATAGACAGAGGCTGAAAGGTCCTGGGAAGCATGACTTCAGGCATGGCTGTATCCAGGTTCCAACAGCATCACTAGGGCCCCTCTTCAGCCACACTTCCTCTGGACTGCTTTGATCCCAAGCTGTGTGTGGCAGTCCCCACACACAAACCACCCCACCCACCCCAACACCTGCAGGCTCCTGTGGTCACAGTGTGCAGGACAGAGGCAGAAACACCAGAATTGAGTCCTGAATGGCTGCTGGGGTGAGGTGCCCACTTCTGAGCAGGCACTGAGATGGGGCCACAGGGGTCTAGAACAGGGATCTGCAGCCATTTTCTATGAAGGGCCAGAGGGTGGCCATACCGCCTCTGTGCTGGCTACTCGGCTCTGACCCTCGGGAGGAAAGGAGACAGACGAAAGTACAAGACAGGATCTGCACCAACAAACCTATTCCCCAGAGCGGCACGGGTGCGTCTGGCCCCCTGGCTTGTCCCCCTGGCTGACCACAGCCCCTGGGAAGCTCAGGCCGACAGGCCAGGACCCAGGACCGAGGTGGGTGGTCGTGGCTTTGCTCCTGCAGGACCCCTGAGGTCCCAGGCCCTAGGGAGCTGGAGGCCGTGGCTGGGCTCTCCGTGTCCTGTGCTCAAACTGCACAGTGCCAGGCCACCGCGTGCATTCAAAGGCCCAGGCAGGACAGACGCAGCCTCTGCTTCAAACGTCAGTACCCATCTCAGCTCGTGGCCAGTGGCAGACACGCGCACACACTCACAGGCGCACTTACAGGCCTACACGCCACACTGTCTCCCTGGCTCAGGGTGCCTGGCAGGAGGGGCTGCAGCCCTCCCTGATGTGATAGGAGGGGGGGCCGTGGCCCCGCGTTGGTCACCTGTCCACAAAGGACAACCCCAAGCCCAAACCCATGGCAGAACATAGGGGACAGAAGGAGCCCAGAGATGATTCTGATTCCAGAAGCCTCTCACACCTGCCACCCATCACCGCCTTCTCCCACCTGTGAGCACAACACGCTGTCCCATGCCCTCCCACTGTGTCTGCACTGGTCTCTGCACCCCCAGGAAAGGCTGGGCGCGGCCTGAGGCAGGGCCTGGCCCCTGTGTGGGCGGGGCTTGCTGGGTCTGCATCTGTGCTCAGGAGGCGGGACTTGGCCCCTGTGTGGGCGGGGCTTGCTGGGTCTGCATTTGTGCTCAGGGGGCGGGACTTGGCCCCTGTGTGGGCGGGGCTTGCTGGGTCTGCATCTGTGCTCAGGAGGCGGGGCCTGGCCCCTTGTGGGCGGGGCTTGCTGGGTCTGCATCTGTGCTCCAGGAGGCGGGGCCTGGCCTCTGTGTGGGCGGGGCTTGCTGGGTCTGCATCTGTGCTCCAAGAGGCGGGGCCTGGCCCCTTGTGGGCGGGGCTTGCTGGGTCTGCATCTGTGCTCAGGAGGCGGGGCCTGGCCCCTTGTGGGCGGGGCTTGCTGCGTCTCCATCTGTGCACCAGGACCCAAGGCACCGCTGGCCTCTAGAGCCCTGCAGCCCTCCCTCGATGCCCCACGTGCCCCCCAGCCCCGTCACCCTGGCCTGGAGCGGTGGCCCAGCACCTCCCAGGTGTGACAGGAGTCCCAGGCCTCCCGGCCCCACACTGGGTTGTGACCTTCTCTTTCCTGACCTTTTACAGTTTGCAGGGGAGGTCCCTGAAAACCGGGTGGAGACGGTGGTCGCCAACCTCACCGTGATGGACCGGGACCAGCCCCACTCGGCAAACTGGAACGCCGTCTACCGCATCATCAGCGGGGACCCGTCAGGGCACTTCAGCGTCCGCACAGACCCTGTCACCAACGAGGGCATGGTCACCGTGGTGAAGGTAGGTGACTGCCCCCACACATACCCCAGGGCCAGTCACACAGAAATGAACTGGGCTCCGTGTGCCACCTCCCCGGTCACCCAGGGCTGGCCCGCACCCCAGCCACCAGGGCACAACCTCCAGGGCTCAGCACACCCCCACAGGCCACCGTGCGTCCCCTCCCCAACGGCCACATTCCCTGACCTCACAGAAGGCAGATCTGCCTGAAAGACTTCCCAAGCAAGCTGCCCGCGTCCAAGACGGCCGCAGGGCACACTAGTGAGCCGGACTTCCTGAGGCCTGGAGTTTGAGTGTGTGAGTATGAGTGTTTGAGAGGGTGTGTGTGTGTGAGTGTGTGTGTGTGTGAATGTATGTATGTGAGTGTGAATATGACTGTGTGTGTGTGAGTGTGTGTGTGTGTGTGAATGTATGTATGTGTGTGTATGACAGTGTGTGTGAGTGTGAGTGTGTGTGTGTATAACTGTGTGTGTGAATGTATGTATGTGAGTGTGTGACAGTGTGTGTGTGTGTGAATGTATGTGTGTGACTGTGTGTGAATGTATGTATGTGTGTGTATGACAGTGTGTGTGTGAGTGTGTGTGTATAACTGTGTGTGTGAATGTATGTATGTGTGACAGTGTGTGTGTGTGAATGTATGTATGTATGTGAGTGTGTGACAGTGTGTGTGTGTGAATGTATGTATGTGAGTGTGTGACAGTGTGTGTGTGAGTGTATGTATGTGGGTGTGTATATGACAGTGTGTGTGTATAACTGTGTGTGTGAATGTATGTATGTGAGTGTGACAGTGTGTGTATGTGAATGTATGTATGTGGGTGTGTATATGACAGTGTGTGTGTGTGTGAATGTATGTATGTGAGTGTGTATATGACAGTGTGTGTGTGAGTGTGTATGTGAATATATGTATGTATGTGAGTGTGTGACAGTGTGTGTGTGAGAGTGTATGTATGTGGGTGCGTATGTGACAGTGTGTGTGTGTGACAGTGTGTGTGAGTGTATGCAGTGTGTGTGTGTGTGACAGTGTGTGTGAGTGTATGCAGTGTGTGTGTGTGTGTGACAGTG